TTTCAGTCGATCTGCCTGTTCACCTCCCCACTCTGTCTCTGGTGAATCCTCTCACCCCCCCCACATCTCTGGCCTGTACCCCAGTTCTTATATGCATAAATAAATAAATCTTTTTTTAGAAAATGGAGAATCTTAAAAAAAAAAAGAAGAAGTAAGAGAGGCAGCAACTGTGGTCCCAGCTCTGTCACTAATGGGTCGTCTGATCCTGCCCCGCTGGGGTCCCCAGCTCCTTGTCTGTGTAATGAGGGGGAGCTGGGCTCTGCTCTCATTGGGTGCTCTATTATGATGCACAGGTGCTCCCCCAAGATTCATGTTGACCTGCTAACCTCCAAGGTGATGTATTGGGAGGTAGGGCCTTTGGGAGGTGACTAGGCCCTGGGGTGGCACCCTCATCAGTGGAATGAGAGGCCCCCATGAGACACCCCCTGCCCTAGCCTTCACACCACATGAGGACCCAGCGAGGAGACAGTGTCGTGGCACAGGAGGCTCCCAGCAGGCAGGTCCCGGTGCCTTGGTCTTGCACGTGCAGCCACCAGAACTGTGAGAAACACTCTGTTTGCAAGACACCCAGTCCGTGGTATCTTGTTACAGCAGCCCAGGCAGACGAGATACTCTTCAAAACCCTAACCAGAGGCAGTGTCGCTCTTGCCCTTCCTGGTCCATGAACCTGGGTTCATGGGAGGGGGCGGGGTCCCGTGTGTCCCAGAGTGGGGGCCACCTGAGGTGACTGTCCTCATTCCCTCCTGGGCCACTGTCCCAGGGCACAGTCTGCTGCCTCCATCACTGTGCATGGGCCAAGCTGCCACACTGGCAGACGAAAAGAGCAAAAAGGGCTGCAGAAGCGAGCAGCTTTTCATGGGGCTTCCAGGGGGACACCAGCATGGTATCTGGGCACAGGGACTGGAGGGAGAACAGGAAGACTTCCCGGAGGAGGCGATGCTGGCGAACGGCTGCACGGAAGGGCTGGCAGAACTGGGAGTGGCCCACGGAGGCGTGAAGACAGGCCTGCTTGGTGGAGATGCCAAGTGGGCCAACAGCAGCCTCAGCCTTGGAGCTGACAGGGGAGTGGGTCCCAGCTGGTGTCCAGGCTCTAATGGGTTTCCCGGAGGAGGCAGGAAGCAGGCTGGGCACTGACGTACCAGTGGGCCAAGGTGATGCCCCCATGTACCTGCCTCTCACCTTCCATCCTCTCCAGGGAGGACAGAGCCTGAGGTGCCCACAACAGTGCCTGGCCGTGTGTGAACCTTGGGGAATGAGGCCACAGGGCTCCACTCTCCTTGTCCCCTCTGCCCGCAACTCCCTTTCCCTACTTCACTGCGCGGCTCTTTCCACGTCTTTTCTTCAAAAAGTCCTCTTGAGCTCCCATTGCAAAACCGCACCCCTTGCTGGGTGGACACGCTAAGTGATATCACAGGGATACAACCAGCCAAAGCCAGGAGGGAGCAACCAGGAGGTAAATTCTGTCACAGAACAAACCAACCTCTGTGTTCTTAGGAAAAAAGAAAAAACAGGACCTCCCTGGTGGTGCAAGGGGTAAAGTCTCAGCACTATGAAGCTATCGCCAGCCACTGTGGCCTGAGCTCAATCCCTGGCCAGGGAGCTGACCTGCATGGCGCAGCAGACCTCTCCTGTCTCGCCCGCCGCTCCCTCAGCAGTGTATTTGAGTAGATCCGCCTGTTCTGCTCCCCACTTTGTCTCTGGTGAATCCTCTCACATGCCCCCACCCCTGCACCTCTGGCCTACACCCCAGCTCTTGCATGCATGCATAAACAAAATAAATCTTTAAAGAAAAAACAGGGAAAGGGAGTCAGGAAGGGCTGGTACGGGGTGAGACATACCAAGTACTGAGTGGGTCATACTTAGCTCCTGATTCAAACCAATCAGGCGAGAAAAGATACTCGTGGAAGTTTCTGGAGGTGAGCTGCACAACAATGTGAATGTCCTTGCTTACTGGACTGAATGAACACTTTAACACGGTGAAGATGGTAAATTTATGTTATGTGTATTTACCACAATTGACAAGGCCGTAAAAGGTACTCATGGATCAGTTGGGGCACGTGTACACTGATGAGACAGTAGAAGAAATGAGGGATTATTAATTTTTAGTGTCAGAGTGATATCTTTTACCGGAGTCAAACCTACTTACAGATGGGATGATAAAACATCTGGGATTTGTTTTATCTTTCTTTTTTTTCTCCAAAGATTTATTTATTTATGCCTACAAGAGCTGGGGTGCAGGCCAGAGGTGGGGGGGTGGTGGTGAGAGGATTCACCAGAGACAGAGTGGGTAGCAGTGGCTGTGGGTAGCTTCATAGTGTTAAGATTTAACCCTTTGCGCCATCCATCAGGGAGGCCCCTAGGATTTGTTTTAAAACAATCTAGGGGGCTCCTGGTGGCGCAAGGGGTTAAGCACCGCATTATGAAGAAATCCGCAGCCTCTGCAGCATGAGTTCGATCCCTGGCCAGGCAGGGAGCAGCCCACATGGCGCAACAGACCTCTCCTGATTTGCCCTGCTGCTCCCCTCAGCAGTGTACTTCAGTCAATCTGCCTGTTCTGTTCCCCAATCTGTCTCTGGAGAATCCTCTCACCCCCCATATCTCTGGCCTGTACCCGAGCTCTTGTACGCATAAATAAATAAATCTTAAAAAAAAAAAATCTAGAAGGGCGGGCAGTGGGACATACAGATCAACCACACCCTCCTGTCAATAATTTGGAAGCAAATCCCAAACTCTGAGTCTAAACACAGGGACACGTATCTCTAAGGTCTCAGAACTTTTCCTATTAATACAAAAGAAAAAGATAAACCCAAATGGGCCACATTGTTGGGTTGGTCATGGGCTGGTCATGGATACGTGGGGTTCCCTTGCTCTTCTTTTGGGCGTGTCAGGGAAGAGCACCCCTCCACCAAGCCACTTTCCGCATGACACTATTCCCGTCAGACATTTTTTAAAAAAGATTTATTATTTATGCATACAAGAACTGGGGTCTAGGCCAGAGGTGTGGGGCTGGGGTGCGGGGTGCTGAGAGGGTGCACCACAGAGTGGGGAGTAGAACAGGTGGATTGACTGAAATACACTGCTGAGGGGAGCAGCGGGCGAGACAGGAGAGGTCTGAGCTCCCTGGCCGGGGATGGAACTCAGGCCATAGAGGTGATAGCACTGAGCCTTAACCTCCAGGTCACCAGGGAGCCCCCCATCAGACATCTTGAGAAGCCCCTATAGAGGCATCTCCCTTGGTGGGTGGCTCGCTGCTGTGGGCCTGGGTCTGCGTGGCCTCGGAGCCCAACACCGGACGTGCTGAGTGTGAGCAGCTGGTTCGACCACAGTTCTGACCTCGGAGGGTCCTGAGCGAGTCTCTCGCAAACTGTTCACCCAGGAAAACGGCACTGTGGTGGGGGACAAGAGGGCTCGCCCCAGGCCAGGTAGGGTCTAGGAGACCCCCACACCCTGCTCCCTAGAACAGCCCATGCTCCTGTGATGGCATCCTCCCTGTCTCTGTGGCCTCCAAGTGATGAGACCCAGCCTCAACCAAAGCAGAGGTAGCTGAGGGAGGCCAGGCCAGATCCTGCCCAGGGGCCCAGGCACCATTGTCTGGAGAAAAGGGCAGGGGTGGAGTGAACTCTCCGCTCTCAAAGTGCACAGCTTGGTTCCCACCATCATCACGTGCGACAGGTGTGCTGAGCCCCTCAATTTCTCACTGCCAGGCACAGGGCATGATCCCTGCAGCTGCCAGGATCCAGGGGACTGTAGAGACGGGTGCAGTGAGGACCCTGGGCGCACCAGCCCCAGCGCCAGAGCAATGGAGGTGCTGGGCTTTGTCCTTGCGAATGTGCAAGTCACCACACTTACCTGGTGTGCCTCACCTGGATGATGGGTACAATCTGGGGTGACTCACAATGGACACTGGGACAGTGTCTGCACACTGCAGTTCCTAACAGTGCCGCTCACAGGGGGTCTTCAATCAGTTTTGTGGAATCTGAGCCCCCAAAGATGGTCCAGCCCCCTGTTGCTTCTGCTTCCTTGGGTCTCCTGGAGGTGGGGTCTGAGATTAGTCATTTACACTGTGTGAGGGAGGCCATGGGGCCCTCCCTTCCTTCCCGCAAGGCCCCTTTGTCAGCCCATGAATACCCTCTAGGGACTGAACCATTGCAGGGGTGTGAGGGTGCCTGGCTACAGGGAGGTGTCAAAGTACACACTGGGATGCTAGGGAACTGCCTTACCTGTCACTGCACCTGCAAGCTGCAGGTGTGCTGTTGGAGGGAGGTCAGCTGGGAACCCCACTCGCAGAGCCAGTGGGGGACGGACAGAGGGGACAATCCTATCAGAGGTTCTCCCACCCCAGTCCCATCCTCCTACCACACCTCACGGCTGTGTGGGACTTCATGGTTTACAAGGGGCACCCAACAGTCTCCCTGGAGCCACTCAGCAGCCCTGTGGGGGTTGGGGGGCGGGGCAAGCACTGTCCTTTTTGCAGAGGAAGGGGAGGTCAGACCAGGAGCTGCAGAACTTAGGCTAGACCAGTGATGCCACTGGTAGGCTTCAGGGGCCCAGCTAGTGTCCCCTCACCCACCCACCCCCGCCCCCACTTTCCCTGCAAGGATGGAAGGAGCTCCTTCCCTCGTCCGAGACTGGCTTTGTCCTCCGGCTATGACACCCATCCAGAGACGTCACAGGAGTGTTGGGGTCTAGGGCATAGTGTGTGTCCCCAAGTCAGGAGCAGCAGCTCCTTCTCCCCCGACCCTCCCTCCACAGTTGTGGACAAAGTTGCCCATCACACCTGGACAAAGTTGCCACCGCCAGCCTCAGGGGTCGTATTTGCATGGGAGGCTGCTTGGTGTTACAGGGCCCCCTCTACAGGCTGGGAGCTCTGGTGCAGGTTGGGGGACCCCAAGTGATCTGTCATCTGTATTCAGAACCTTCCTTCTGTACCCCACCTCCCCGCCCCATGGGGTCAGGCCCTGGGCTCCGCTCTCTCCACCCCTCCCTGGAAGTGCAGAAGTGCCCACGGGCTCCCGGACACACAGGCTCGCCCCGTCTCCGGAGCCTGCTGAAGCGGGAAGGGCCCCGCTGGCCAGGATGGGGGCAGAGGGCTGAAGTCCCGGAACAAGGAGGCGACCAGCTGTCGCGGGGCAGCCACGCTACAGAGAATCCCACTCCAGGGACCGGATCGCGCTGGCAAAGTGTCACACAGGAACACAGACCAAGAGGGAACTTGACAAACATTTATTGAGCACCTGCGATGTGCCAGGCCCTCTGCAGGGTGTGGGCAGAGGAAGCCAACACAAGCCAGGCCCTGCCCGAAGGAGCGCACAGTCTAGCGGCCAGAACGGCAAGCACATTCACAGCGGCAGAGGTGTGCCAAGCGCCACGACCTCACGACAAGTTCTAAGGTACATTTTCTCCATAGTGGACACCCAGCGACACAGCCACATTGTTTGAAAAGCACATCGGTATAAATGTAAACAGCCACGGGATTGAAAGACAGACAGAAATCACCTGCAAGATTTCACATTGGCGTTTCAGAGCCAGACCTTCGGCATTATTCATATTCTCGCCTATCAGGTAGGATGCAACCTGTGGAGACGCTGGTGGGGGGGCAGTGGGGGTTCTGGGGCCCAGCTGCCATTCCCATGGTGGTGGAGCGGCCCCGGACACAGTGTCCCGAATCTGTAGCTTGCTTTTGTGCCCCCCAGGGCCCCAAGCGTGCTCGCGCTCCTTCTCCAGAGCCTGTCAGATGGGGAGGAGGTCCCTGCCCTGCCAGGGCACTGAGGTCACTCACACTTGGTCCCGCCCAGGCTGGCCAGCCATGGTCAGCACACAGCACAGCACGCTTGTGCCCAGGGCCCGCCTAACTTAGACACTGGCCTTCTGCTCAGTCTCGGAAGCTGGCAGTGGGCGGTGTATGAGAACAAGCGTCCCGCAGGTCTATCCTGCACCCCCTCTCCTGAATGCACGGTGGGGAAGGCCCTATTCATCAAGGATGCTTGCAGTCCCAGAGGGAGCTCCTCGTCCCCAAAGGGGTAAAACAAAATCCCACATGGATTTGGCCTGTGCTGGTTAGTTCTGGAGGGTAAGGGAGCTGGGGAAGAGGTGCAAGCGGGCCACCTCCTGGTTTGGTCCAGGAAAAGGGGAAGCTGACAAGGGTTTGGGTTAAGGGAGCCGGGGAGAGGGCAGGAAAGCTGGCAGCTGTGCGCAGAGTGGGAAGGCCAAGAGTGGGAAGGCCAAGGGCAGGACCGTGCTCAGGGCGCACCGTGGCGGAGGTGGCTGCCCCAAGGCTGGACGCAGCCCGTGCACTAGAGAAAGGTCAGCGCCAGCTCCTAGGGTTTGAGTGGCCCCCGCTCCCACCATGGCCTCGCCTGGACAGAGGACCAGTGTGGAAGCAGAAGGCAGGACATGTCAGAGAGAAGGTGTTTCTGACCCCATTTCAAGGACAGGAACACCGGGAGGTGCCCGGGTCCTCCGGCCTGCTCCAGCCTTGGCCTCACTCCAGCCTCCGGGGCAGCTGGCGCTCTGGCTCCCCCCCAGGACAGTGGTGCAGCCCTGCTGCCCCTTAAGGTCACCCCAGGGGCCAGATCACCTGCTAGCACCCTGTTCCCCAATGACGGCCCAGACGGAACTGTCTTAATAAAAAAAAATAATTTATTGTCAACAAAGGAGATATATACAACAGGAGAACAGGTGACAGGAGTGAGGGTGAATGGAGCCCCCAGGTGGGCTGCTCTGGCCACCTTCAGGGATGGAGCGGGAAGAGGTAATGGAGGGCTCCTGGTGCGGGACCCTGAACGGATGGGGGAGGAGAGGTGTCCCCCGAGGTAGTGGGACTCAGTTCAAACCCCTTTATGACCACCTCTTGTGTAAGGCACTGTGCCAGGGGAGAATGGTGGGGGGCTCAGGGGGAGGGGGGAGGAGGCTGGGGACGAGGTCTGGGTCAGCAAAAGGATTGGGATGGGTGTTCTCCACAAGCCCAGTGCCCTACCGCACAACAGCCCCCTGCGCCCCCTGTGCACCTCAGGGCCCAGGTTCAGGCCTGGCCAGGGAGAAAGAATTCCAGTGCCCCAGTAACAGCGACGCCGCGCCCCCCTCCTCCATCCTGTCTCGGCGCCATGTCTTACCCTCCATTAGGTGGCCTGGCTGGGCAGCTCTGAGTGATAAGCCAAAGGGGGATGCTGCCCCTGCTCCCCACCATCCCCAGAAAAGCAAGAACCTACACGCCACTCCCTGCCTCTGGCTGGTGCCCCACTGTGGTGCTAGATTCCGACAGAACCGCAGGCCAGTCTGGGGTGTCACCTGCTCCCACACCCTTGGTGCCCTGGGGGTGCTTGGACCAGTCTTGAAGGAGGCTGACGGCCGGGGGCTCCTCCATCCGCACTCGGATGACCTGGAGATCCAGTGTCCCGCGAAGCCCCGGAGGGGGAGCTGCGCAGGGGTGGGAGCAGAGAGTAGAGTCAGGGCCCTCCAGATACCCCCACGAGGATGTTCCTGAAAACTGCCCCTTTCCACAGCCCAGCACCTGGCGGGGAGGCAGTGGGAGGCTCCGCTCTGGGTTGGTCCTGGGACCACAGCCACCGGAGTCAAGGTCAGGCCGCCAGGGCAGAGTCAGCGCACCCCGAGCCCTCTGCTACTGGCATGTGGCTGATTAGCCTGCTCCCCTTCAGCTCTTCAGCTGACTCCAGTCTACCTAAAACTCGCGGGTATCCTAGCCAGAGGGATTCTTCCCAGTGTGGACAGGGGTGATGGGGCAGGGAATCCTTAGCACAGAGTAAGACATGGTTCTGCCCACAAGAAGTCCCTGAGCAGGGGCCTCCCTGGTGACACAAGGGGTTAAGACACAGCACTGTTAAGCTACCTGCAGCCACTGTAGCACGAGTTCCATCCCCGGCCAGGGAGCTGACCCACAGGGTGCAGCAGACCTCTCCTGTCTCACCAGATCCTCCCCTCAGGAGTGTATTTCAGTGGATCTACCTGTTCTGCTCCCCACTCTGTTTCTGGTGAATCCTCTCACACCCACCCTCCCCCCATCTCTGGCCTGCACCCCAGATCTTGTATGCATATGTAAATAAGTAAATAAATCTTAAAAAACAAAAAAGAAGTCCCTGAGCAATTAGGTAGGTGGGGGAGCACTGCACCCCGGGCCCATCAAGTCTACCATAGTGGAGCAGAGAAGCTACTCGTAATGGGCAAAACCAGGCCTCAAGTCGGGTGCACAGCCTGTTGACACCAGTGGTCGCGGGGAGCTGCTGCGACAAGGGTGCAGGCACACCCGACACCTTTACGTTGAAAACAAAACCAAAAAAAAATGCATCTACGTGGGAGAGAAAACTACAATTTTCGGGCCTCCCCGGTGGCGCAGAAGTTGAGCGCTGGGTTGCGAAGCTGCTCCGCGGCCTCTGTGGAGCCGGTTCGATCCCCGGCTGCTCCCCGGCCACCAGAGGAGGGTCCCACATGGCGCGCAGACCTCTCCTGCCGCCCGCTGCTCCCCTCAGCAGTGTACTTCAGTCCTTCTGCCTGCTCTGCTCCCTGCTCTGGCTCTGGTGAATTCTCTCACCCTCCTGCGCTTCTGACTGTACCCAGTGCTTGTATAAACAAAACAAACAAACAAACCAGCAAACAAATAAATAAAGCATGCCTCTATTAAAAAAAAAAAAAAAAAAAAAAAAGAAAACTACAATTTTGCTGTCCAGGTCACTTATAACGACGCAGACGCTGCCACTGGGTCAGACCAGGGAGCAAACCGTGGTGCAGCCGCAGAAGTGGGTTTGTCTCCCCGGCAAGCTCCCTGAAGGCCGAACCCCACACACTTCCTTTTCAGCCCAGCGGGAGCCATGGAGCACGCACACTAGTCCAGCTGTGTGGCAGCTGCCTCGGGCGCCGCTGGCTGGAGCGGGCCCAGCCCCCTTGGAATTATGCTCCCGTCGTGAGGCCCAGCGCGCAGGACGGGCAGCTAGAAGATGCGGCATGTGACGCGGGGACCCAGTCTGTTAGACGTGGGCGGAGGAAAAATTAGCCAGGAAAGGGAACAGGGACGGAGAGCGGATCCCGGACACATCTCGGTGCTGGGGCTACCAGGATGTGCTGCTGGGGTTCGAGAGACAAGAGGGGGATGACCCAAGGGTTTGGCTCAAGCAATCTGAAGAAAGGGGGAGGGGAGAGAGTGGAGAGGGGCCGGGCTGCGGGGAGGAGATGGGGGTCCAGTCTGGACATGCTGAGTTCGAGATGGTTCAGACAAGCACACAGGGGTCAAAAGGCAGCTGAAGAGAAGCTGGGGCCCAGGGACAGGTCCATCCGCAGGGCCGAGGGGACAGGAACGGTCTGTGAGCACGTGGCCCACACCTGCAAGGCTAACCCAGCGGGATCACACGGGAGTGAGACACTCGGCCTGCCGTTTGGGCACCGAGTTGTTCCTTCTCCACAGACACAGCAACTCCCTGCGCCGGGCACGGGGGCGTCAGTGCATGAAACACACCACCGCCCTGACCCAAGCGCGCTCACATTCTAGAAAGGGAAGAGGGAACAAAAGGTTCCAATGTGAGCAGCTGAGACTGTACAGGCAAGACAGACAGAGGAACAGCCAGCGAGGCCGAAGAGAACCAGGCCAGTTCTGCCTAAGGGGCAGAGAGTGCCTCCTGGAGAGGGGCCGCTGCCACTGCCGCCAGACCAGGAAAGGCAGGGACTGAGGACTGGCCCCTGGATTCCACTTGGTGCAAGTAACTGGCCTTGCCAAAAAGGCAGTCCCAGTGTGGGGCGGGGAGCGAGGGGATGCGTGCGGTGCTGGATAAGCGATGAAAATGGACGTAAATGGCTTTAGGCTGGAGGCAGTTAGCAGAGAACGTGCTTCCCAACTTGGCTATAAAGGTCCAAGGACACAAGGGATAGCGGCTGGGAGGGCAAGGGTGACAGAAATCAGTGTTGTGGGGGAAGCGCCAGAAGAGAGGGCAAAGCTGAGTGAGCTCTTTCAGCTGCTTATGGGCGGGTGGCCCCAAGTTTCCCAACACCTTACGCAGCGGTTAGTGGATTTAGGAGGTAACGCCCGAGTGAGCTCAGCGCACAGTAAGAGCTCACCAAGTGAGGTGCTCTCAAGCCAAGGGAATTAAAAGCCGACCTTGTTGGTACCAACAGCAGGAGTGAAGCCTGAGATGAGGCAGAGACGTCCTTCCAGAAATCATGATCGGAGAACCAGGGTCAAAAAAGCACAAGCCAGGAGGACTTTTCTGGGCCCTATATCACCCCAACCCCCAAACTACCCCAAACGCCTGAGCCTCCCCAGGATCATGCCGTCTGCCCCCCCTCCACCGCAGCCACATCGTGTAATACGCGTACATATGGGTGGAGAGTAACCCTGGAAATGTCCCCACCAGAGAGGTGGAGGCTGCCACCACCCACACATCCCTGAGGACACACCTGAGTGTTCTTTGTGCTGGGCACCATGCCAGGTGCTAAGTAGATAGCAGCAAACAAGACCTTTCCTCAAGAAGCAAATGCTTGGGCTCCCTCCCTCACATACGCCTTGCTTCTTGGTCCAGCAGGAAGGCCCGCTGTGTCTGGCCCAGGCCTCTCTTAAGCTGGCCCCAAGTCAGGGCCCACTTAAATCAAACACCAAGATAGAGGGGCTCTTTCCCCACTATTTCTGAGGGAGCCCTCAGAACTCGCCTTCTCCCCTGGTCTGGACAACCCTCCCTCACCCTCATCCTCTAAGACCCTTGGAAAGTTCCAGAAGGTCTTCACTGACTGCTCCACACCCATCTCTACCAGGGTAGCTGACCTGACCACAGTGACCTTTTTCAGCTTCTAAATCCTTAATTTTTAAACATTTTTTTTTCCCCCAAAGTGCCAGGACCTTTATTCTTCCAAGAACTTGAACACATCAAGTGATCCCGAGCAGAGACAATTCTGGTCAAAGCCTCACAGGTTTCTGAGAGATCTGTCTAAGCTGTGGGTTTCTAAATCCACTCCTCTGGAGACTCTGCTCAGCACAGAACCATCGTAGGCGCCCCTGCAGTCTTGCCCACGTCGCTTCCGAGAGCTTCTCCAGGGCTGGCCCGGGGGGCCCTGTGCTGTCCTCAGCCTCTGGCTTCTAGGCTGCCTCCAGTCTCCACATCCACAAGTGAGACACCGCCCCATCGCCTCCATCCCTCAATCCTTCCATCAGCAAACTGAGCCCCAAAATCTCAGACTTTGCCCATTCACCCCAAATGAACTCACCACTCCAGACAGGGGGAAGTCTGGGCACAGGGCAGCCCAGGACTCGAAAGAAGGCTCCCCTTTGAGAATGAAGCCAGGAGAGCACTACTGGAGGCGGGCGTCACTTAGAGCCGCAGCCCACGGGGAGGCGGGGGAGACGCGTGGCTCCAGGGCCAGCAGAGCGCACGGTCTCGGGAGGCAGAACTGGGACTCGAGCCGAAGCCTGAGCCAGTTAAAACCATGATCTCCGCGATGGGGCGAGGCCTGAGATCAGAAAAGCGGAGCCCATTTTGGTAAAATAAAGAAACAAACGGCGTGTGCACACACACAGGTACGCACACACGCACCTGCGTGCACCCCCCGCCCCCCGCTGTGTAAAAGATCTGAAGGACACAAGCCAAACTATTGGCTTGTCCCCTGGCAGCTGGAGTAGTGGCATCACTGCTTCTTCTTTATACAAGGACACCTCCTTTCTGAGAGGCCTGCTCTGGGGAGCAACCAGCACCCCCGCTGCCAGTTTCTCAGCCTAGACCTCCAAACGCACACTTCCGACAGCGGGAGCGGGCACTCCTGACACACACCCACTATTCTCCTGAGCCCAACAAGCAAGATGGAGAGGGACCCGGCTTGGCCCTGCTCTCCTGGACCGTGTTCCAGTCTCACGAGCTTCTTGCCACTCCTCGGTCATGTGACCGAGGGGCCAGAGATGCCTCGTCCTCAGCCCCGGGATCTGTGACTATGGTCTGTCACGCTGCGAGGGAGGATGAAGGCTGCAGTGGAACCCACATCACTCAGCAGCTGACTTTAAAATGAAGCGGGTCAATTGGGCCATGGGGGTGGGCTCAGCGTTGTCATGGGGGCCTCAATAGGAAGAACAGGACAATAAGGTAGCCAAAGGCTCTGCCGGCCAGTGCTGATTTAAAGATGGAGGAGGCCACGAGCCAAGAGATGTGGTGGCCTCTAGATGCTGGCCAAGGCAAGAAAACAGCTCCCCCTAGAGCCTCCAGCAGGGAACCAGGCCTGCTTCTGACCTCCACAGCAGAGGGTGATAAATGTGTTGTCTTAAGTCACTAAGTTTGTGGTACTTTGCTATGTGACCACTGAAAAGGGAGACAAGAACCATGGGGAAGAGGGAAGAGTCTCTGAGACTTGGTCTCTCCATCTGGAAGATATTTTTGCAAGGGTCAAAGGAACTGCACAGAAATTCCTTAAAATCAGTAGCACGCAATCCCTGCCCAAGGGCCCGTGCCCCCGCGAGGAGGCAGCTCTCTGGGCAGCGGTCCTCTTGGACGTGTCTGTCCAGTCCCCCACTGGCCTACTCTTCCTTAACTGCCCTGCTCTGGCCCCTGCCCACCAGGGCGAGGTGGGGTCCTCTCAGGCTCCACGTGGAATCCACCTCGAATATGGGCACAGGTGTGGGGTTTGGGGGACACGGCCTAGCCCAACCGAGGCACCGGTCCCAGGATACTCGGGGAGTGCTTGGCAAAGCTCTGCTCCCAATCATGCAGATTCCCCTGCCCCGCCCCCTCTCCTGGGGCCCTGGCCCCAGTGCCCCCCGCCCCACACCCCGGGCTCTGCTCTGGCCAGCCTCAAAGGCCAGGCCAGGCCTGACTTGCCTCTGTCGCCCCCTCTCAGTAGCTCACCTGCAGAGGGGCTCTCCAACTGGGGAAGGCCTTCCCCTGGGGCGCCCCCCTCTTTGGGGGGGCCCTTGCTGTCTGGGGTCCTGAGCTGCGTGTGGGAGAAAAGCTGGAGAACAAAGCCAGGGGGGAAGGTGCCGTCCGTGAAGTGCCGGACCTCAGCAGGGGCCGCGAACGTCTCTGTGGGCGAGTCCGGTGATGGCGGCTCTGGGGGCGACAAGATGGGGCTGTGAGCCTGGGAGGCTGGGCCCTCAGCTCCACAGAGGTCAGAACCCCCAGGGCTGAGCCGAAGCCTCCGGGGCGGTGTAGGGGCCCTCTGCCTGGCCCAGGCCGCCCCTCACCTGGGTCAGGATCAGGATCAGGGTCCGGGTCCAAGTCCAGATCCAGGTTTTTGGTCATGGGTCTGCCTCTTTTCTTCCTGACTGGCTCGTCCCCAGGAGGCTCCTTCCATCTCTGACCACGGAGCTTCTTGCTTCCTGGTTCCGTGACAGGGGCAGCTGCTGAGAGACAAGCCCTCACGTCTTCATAACAGGCCATGCCCGAACCCCGCACCTCAGGGCCATTGAAGACCCGTGCCCACCAGCCTTTCCCCACCCAGAAAATGGGCCAGGGCCGCCCATCCCCCGAGGCGCCCCCTTCCCTAAGGACTGACCAGGAAGCTCGAGGGGGCGGAGTCCCCTGGGCCGAATCCTTTTGGGGAGGGATGGGTTGTCCTCAGAGTCCAGGAGAACCACAATCTCGGCTGGCATTTTGGCGGCGTCTGCACTGGAGTCTGGGTCTCCGTCGACATCTTGGCCGGAGTCTGAAGGGACCGTGGTCCAGTGAGCGCCGTGATTCCACAGACCAACCCCGCCCCCACTTCACCCCACTACCTGAGTTGGGTGGGGACGGCTGCTCAGCTCTGACATCTTGCAAGAGGGCCACCCCCTCACTCCAGGCCTCCAGGATGTTGCTCTTCTCGGAAGGGCTCAGGTCCAGGGTGTGGGGGTGCTGCTCCAGGATGTGCATGCGCGCCGTGTCCGCCGAGGGGGACCGGATCTCGGCCCCACACACCATGCACAGCGCCCGCCCGCTGCCTCCCGGGCTGTTCCCCACCAGGAACTCCTGCTCCCAAGACACCTGCTGCTTGGGCTCCTCGCAGCCGTCGCTGCCGGCCTCCAGCAGGCTGGGCCTAGGCAGTGGGGGCTTCTCCTGCTGGGCCACTGTGGAGGCGCAGAGGAGAGGGTGCCATCAGCTCAGGTGCCGTCAGTCACGACACGTAGAACACAACTCCCAAGCTGGCTGGTGAGGTTGTGGGGGCAGCACCTACCATCTTTCCCCTCTTCTCCTGGGGTCCAGGGGTCTTGCCATCCAGCTGCCTCCTCTACCCTTCCCGAGGCCTGCAGGTGCCCATGGCAGTTTCTCAATGGGGACCCATTCCGACATGTCTTCAACTTGACACATCGTTCCAGACCACCCGGAAGAGCCTGACAAACTCCTACACATCCTTCACGGCCCTGCTCAAATCCCCACCCATGTGAAGCCTTTCCTGATGCCCCATTCTGAGTGGTGGATTATACCCACATCGACTTCCAGGTTTGGGGATGAAGGTCCCCGGCATACAGAAGATGCTTCACGAGCCCTGGGTCAGTGAACGACATGCCTCTTTCTCCTGCTGTTGAGACTCCTTCAAAAGGCCACCCCACTCCTGCGAACTAGGCTCTCTTGCCAGGGGCTCCCAGAGCCCTGCAGCTGTACCCTTGTCCCCGGGGCCTGCCCAGCAGCTGCTCAGTGCATCTGGGGGGACTGCCACCTTTCAGGGCTGCACCGCTTCCACCTGAGAGGATGGGACGAAGTACACACCCCTCCCCTCCACTCTGTTCTCTCCAGAGCCTGCACTGTGGCCCATGCACCGCAGGCACCAGCTCAGCACCGGGTTTCCGCGTTCACGCCTGCACCTCCAACTCTGGGGCAGCACGGCACATGGGGCATTCAGAAATGTCTGACGAGGCACTGACTGAAGCCCCACCTGGAGGCACCAGAGCATCCTGGGCTCAGGCACTTCTTGGGCTCATTGGGCTGATGGTCCCAACTCCCATGAATGAAACCCAGACCCCCATGTGTCACTCCATCTCCACCTCTCCTGACGTGCCTCAGGCATCTCAGACCTGCCACATTCAAACCTGAACGCCATCTCCCATGGCCTGCATCTCACCCTCCCAGCTCAGCAAGCGGGAAGCCCATCCTTCCAGTTGCTCCAGCCCGAACCCTGAATTTCTCCTGCCACCACCATCCCAATCTTTGAAAATGCTCCTGCTTTAGGACCTTCGTCCTCGCTATTCTCTCTGCTTGGAATGCTGCTCACTCCCTCCGGGTCCGTGCACAAAATTCACTCCATTTGGGAAGGCCTTCCTGTTCATACAGTAGGTCCAACAAAACGCTCATCTCACTCCTCTGCTTAAACGCCATCTGACATGTTACACCTCTGTTCACCTGCTGGCCTGCCCTCCACTGTGACCACATGTACACGTTCCGGAGAGAGCGGTTTCGTCTGCTTACAGACATTAGCATGGCAGCTGAACAGAGAGCCTGGCATACAGCAGGTACCCCCCAACACCTGTTGAATGAATTAACTTCTCTAGACTTGTACTTCCTCATCCCCAAGGATGGGGGACAAGACAGCTTGAGAGAATTAACTAAGAGCCTGGCATCCCGCGCTCAGTAGAGTATTCACAGGGAAACTACCTCTGCTGGACTGAAAGCTTTGACAAAGGTGGTGGCTTTATGTCCTCATTTTAAAATCCTCCTGTTTCCGAAAAGCATGAGGCCAAGAGGCAGACAGCCTGTACTTGCAGCCAAAAGGTAAATAAAAAGCCTCGCCCTCCACCTCCCAGGGAGAGTCCCCTGAAGGAACAGGCATCCAGGAATGTGACAAGACATCTGCATTTCCATGAACGCTAAGTCCCCCACAAAGAAGGCCCTTTGTTTTCGTTTGCAAGGTCCAGAGGACTGAAGAAACTGGGGAAAGGAGCAGGGAAGGGGGGCATTCCCAGAGCCAGTCTCCCCTGGGCCTGTTTACTTCTGGGGTGGCTCAATCGCTTCCTCGCCCAGCGCTTTTTTCCAAAACCGGGCGCCGCCTGCAATGCCATTCACCCTGAAGTTCCAGAATCTGCCACCTGTGGCTCACGCCCCGGGGAAGGTCTGCAGGGCAGGGGTGGGAGAGGCTCTACGCCTGGCGGGCTCCCGGAGCCCTTCCGCGGCGGCGGCGGCGGGCGCCCGCTCCAGCCCCGCGTCTCCCCCGCGCCTCCCGCCCCCGCCTGAGCCGCGGCGGCCGCCGGGCTGTCTCCGCTCCCCTGGGCCCGAGGCCGCGGCCGCAGACCCGGCGCCGCGGGGGCCCCGGGCGCGCGGCGGGCCGGGGAGGGGGCGCGCGGGCGCCGGAAGATCCGGAGCGCGGCGGGCGCGGAGCTGGAAGGCTCCAGACCCCGGGCGAGGGCGGGGGAGGCCGAGATTCCAGCCCTCGGCGGGGCGGAGCCAGCGCGCGCCGGGCCCAGACGCGGGGGGCACGGGCGCCCCGGGCCCCAGAGGGGTGCGGGGCGGGGGCGGGCGGAGGGGGCGCCCCGGGCGGGGGCCGGGGCCCGGGGCGCGGAAGTGCCGCCGCCTCACCTCGGAGCACCGGCTCGGGCCGCGGGATCACGGCCACCACCACGGCCTCGTCCTCGTCCTCGCCGTCCTCGCACTTGAGCGTCACCTCGAAGCAGTCGAGCGCGGCGCCCTCGGCCTTCAGGGCCATGGCGGCCGGCGGGCGCGGGCCGCGGAGGACGGGCTCGCGGGCCCGGCGCAGCCCCCGCGCCGCCGCCGCCGCTCGCCGGCTCGGGACTAGCGCGTCGGGACCCCGGGCGGGGCGGGCTCATCCGGGGCCCCAGCCCCCCGCCGCTCCCTTTTATGGAGGCTCATTGTGGCGCCCGCCCGGCCGGCTCGCCGGGCCCGCCCCCGCCGCGCGCGGCCAATCAGGCGCGGCCCCGCCCCGCGCACGCGGCCCCGCCGGCTCCGGGGACCCGCACGGCGGCGGGAAGGGCCGCGCGGCGCCCCGCGCCCCCCGCGCCCCCGCGCCCCCGCGCCCCCGCCCGCGCGGCCGCTCGCGCCCGCGGCCCCTCAACTCCCCCGGGCGTCCGCAGCCGTCGGCCGGGCCGGCGCCCTCCCGTGCGAAGCCGCTCGGGCTGGATGCCGGCGTGAGGGGCGCACCTGGGTCCCCCGAGATTTGGATGGGGTCCCTTGAACGAGCCTTCCCCCGCCAGAAGATGCTGGGCGGGGAAAGGACGGGTCGGGGTGGAAGAGGGCTTCGGCCCTGGGGCCTCATTCCGTGACTGGCCCGCGCTGTGACCTTGGCCCGCGGCCTGTTTCCTCGCGCGGCCTCATCCTTTGGAAAGATAAACAGGGGCGCCTCTGGACGGGCGAAGGCAAAGATGGGGAGCGTGGCTGGCGCGCCCCGCCCCGCCCCCTCCCGCGCTGGGGGTGAGTCCAGAAATTGTGGCCCTCCTCAAGGTCACAGAAATCCCCCGGGGCCCCAGACCAGAGTCCAGTTGCCATGACGCTGCGTCGTAATCCCACTCCCGGGGAGCTTGCGCCTCTGCCACAGATTCCACTTGAGAAAATGACGTCGAAAATCCACTTTTAGCCTCCCTGGTGGCACAAGGGGTTAAGCACTGCACTGTGAAGCAATCCGCAGCCTCTGCAGCACGAGTTCGATCCCCCGCCCGGCCAGGGAGCATCTCACATGGAGCAGCTCTCCTGTCCCTCCCGCTGCTCCCCTCAGCAGTGGATTTCAGTCAGTCTGCCTGTTCTGAGCCCCACTCTGTCTCTGGTGAATCCTCTCACACACACACACACACCCCCCCCCCCGCACCTCTGATCTGTACCCCAGTTCTTGTATGCATAAATAAATAAATCTTAAAAAAAAAAGAAAACCCACTTTTAAATGCCACTGTGTCACACCAGACAGTAGTAATTCAGAAGCATGTAGTAGGTGGAGGGTGAGAGAGATGTGAACTAGTCTAACTGGACCACAGTATGATTTTTTGGTTAAAGATCTATTTATTTGGGCCTCCCTGCAAGGGGTTAAGCACTGCACTGTGAAGCAATCTGCAGCCTCTGCAGCACGAGTTTGATCCGCTGCTGGCCAGGGGGCCACCCACATGGCACAGCAGACCTCTCCTGTCTCAACCGTGTGCTTCGGTCAATCTACCTCTTCTGTTCCCCAATCTGCCTGTTATGTTTCCCCACTCTGTCTCTGGTGAATCCTCTCACACACACACACCCCACCCTGTATCTCTGGCTTGTACCCCAGCTCTTGTATGCACAAATAAATAAATTTTTAAAAAATATTTATTTATACATACAAGAGCAGGGGTACAGGCCAGAGGTGTGGAGATGAGAGGATTCACCAGAGACAGAGTGGGGAACAGGACAGGTGGATCCACTGAAACACACTGCTGAGGGGAGCAGTGGACAAGATAAAAGAGGTTTGCTGTGCCATATGGGTCACCTTCCTGGCCAGATTGCTTCATGGTGCTGACCCTTAACTCCCTGCGGGGCCACCAGGGAGGCTTTGGCTTCTTTTAATTAGCATGTCCTTGTAACATATCGGTACTGCATTCTCTTTATAATTGGACAATATTCAGTGTATGTCTATGTACTACTTATGAAATCCGCTCATCGGTGATAGACATCTGGGTAGTTTCTACCTTGTGGCTTTTGTGAATAGTGCTGCAGGGAACATTATGGACAAGTCTTTGTTTGGACATTTGCTTTCAATTTTGCGGGGTATATGCCGAGGAGTGGAATTGCTGAGTGATATCGTAATTCTATGTTTAACCTACTAAGGTGCTGCCAGACTCTTTCCCACAGCTGCTATACCCAGTGTTCCCACCAGCAGTGTACGAGGGATCCAGTTTCTCCACGTCCTTGCCAACACTTGCTATTGTCCATCTTTTCTATTACAGCCATTGAGAGGGCACATGGTAACATACCAAAAGGGTTTGGATGTGCCTTTTTCTAATGACTCAGGATGTTGACCAGGTTTTCCTGTGCGCATTCTCCCTTTGTGTTTGTTCTTTGCAAAAATATCTCTTCAGATCCTTTGCTCATTTTAAAATTGGGTCATCACTCTTTGTATTGCTGAGTTGTAAGGGTTCGTTATATCTTCTGTATACTAGACCCTTATCTGGTATAAAATTTGTATATATTTCTCCTATCCTCTGAGTTGTCTTTTTATTCTTTTAGTAGTTTCATTTGCAGAATAAAAATAGCAAATCACTTTTTTATAGATTTATTTATGCATACAAGAGCTGGGGTACAGGCCAGAGGTGTGGGGGGTGAGAGGATTCACCAGAGACAGAGTGGGGAACAGAACAGGCAGACTAACTGAAATACACTTTTGAGGGGAGCAGCGGGGAGACAGGAGAGGTCTGCTGTGCCATGTGGGTTGCTCCCTGGCCGGGGATCGAACTTGTGCTGCAGTGGCTTGGATAGTGCTGAGACTTAACCCATTGGACCACCAGGGAGGCCTGGAAAACATTCTTAAGTACATATCTTGGTGGACATATGTACTTTTTTTTTTTTTTTTTTGTGGGACCCTCGCTGGCGGCCGGGGATTGAACTGGCACTGCAGAGGCTGCGGGCAGCCTTGCAACCCAGCGCTCAACCGCTGCGCCACCAGGGGAGGCCATTATACTTATTTTTGTTGAGCATGTACCCATTGGAATTGCCAGGTCATAGATTTATAGGTATAATTAGTTCTACCAGGGCCTTCTAGACATTTCTCAAAGTGGTTTTATTAATATATATTCCCACCTGCACTGTAAGAGTTCCACCTGTCTATCTCCTCGCCAACACTTCTCGTTGTCCATCTTTTCAGTTTGAGCCATTCTGGTGAGAGTGTATTGGTATCTCATTATGCTTTTTATTTTCATTTCTCTCATGAATAATGTTGCTGAACACATTACAGAACATGTATTGGCCATTAGTATATCCTTTGTGTTGATGGACTTGTTTAAGTCTTTTGTCCATTTTTAGTGGATTGTCTTTTCAGTAAGTATTCGCATGGAGTAACACACCCTAACATTCTGTGCTGCTGTTTTAGTGAGGTCCATTCGCCCATTTCTTTCCCAGATCTCCTTGCAACCAAATTTCCAAACCTTAAGAATGATTTATCAAGAAAGAAGAACACATGGGTTTTAAAAAAAAGATTTATTTATTTATGCATACAAGAACTGGGGTACAGGCCAGAGGTGCTGGGTGAGAGGATTCAACAGAGACAGAGCGGGGAACAGAACAGGCGGACTGACTGAAATACACTGCTGAGGGGAGCAGTGGGCGAGCCCGGAGAGGTCTGCTGCGCCATGTGGGTCACTCCCTGGCCTGGGATGGAGCTAGCACTGCAGTAGTTGCAGATAGCCTCATAGGTTGCATCTGAACCCCTTGCGCCACCAGGGGGGCCCTATCACGTGCACTTACCAAAACTGAAAAACCAATATTTGCGTTTTAGTACTAACTGAACTCCAGATTTCTTTGGGTTTCACTGGCTGTACTGGTCTGCTAAGAGCTACTGTAGCAGAATACCACCGGCTGGGGCGTTTAACCAACATGCATTCAGTTTCTCACAGTCCAAGTTCAAGGTGCCAGCAACGCTGGTGCCTGTGCTGTCTCTTGCTGGCTTGCAGATGGCAGCTTCCCACTGTGTCTCGAGTGAGCCCTACTTCGCGCGCATGCAGGGAGAGGGTGCATGTTCCCGTGTCTCTTCCTCTTGTAAGGACAATATGGGGTTAGGGCCCCTTCCTTAATGACCTCCCTAAAGGCCCCATATCCAAATATAGTTGCGCTGGGGTAACTGTCTATGGACTCGTTTTTCCACTAATGTCCTTTTTCTGTCCCGGGATACCATGTTGCACTTAGGAATATGTTTTTAGATTTAAATAGATTTCACCAATTTACCTTCCAAAGTGTCCCTGCTTTGGAAGTAACATATTTCCAGCTGCGGGTCCCCCTTTCTCCACGCCCTCTTTGCCAAGCAGATGGAAGAAGAATGAGATCTTACTGTTTAATCGGCAGCCCCTGGATGCGAGCGAGGCGGTTTCTCAGCTGGCCACCTGTTTTTCCTGGACCATGAATTGCCCATCCCTAACCCTTGACCAATTTTTTGGACCATGGGATGAATTTTTCTTGTTGAATTGTGGAACCTCGTGACTTTGTGAGGGGTCGTGGCAGACACAGGCCCACTGGCTCACGGCAGGTGCTTTGGGTGGCAAGAACAGGAGGGTAATTTAGGACATGGGGAGGGGGCTGCTGGCAGGCGCGCTGTCCCAGATGTGAAGGGAAATCTCAGCCTCTTCTGGGCTTGGGAGCAGGGAGGCGGGTGGGCGCTGCCTCTCACTCGGTGGCTCCCAGCTTCTTCTCTTTCCACAGGGCACTCGTTGCTCAGGCCTGTGGGGTGGACGAGGGCAGTCCTGATGGCTGCCACCCAGGCATCACCTGGCCAGTGTGTGGAATCGGGACGTGGTTCCCCCTTGATTCCCCGCACCTGCTGGACACTCACCGGTAGGCTCCTAAGCTGAACGTGTGGGTGAAAGCTGGCTTCTGGGAGTCCCCACTCTGTGGGGAAGGAGGGGATGACCCCAAATGCATCACACCCCCTCCTCTGACTCTGTGTTGCTTTGGGTTAGAATGACCTCACGCTCCTGACCAAGTAGCCAGGCATCTGCTGTTCTGCACCCCTGTTTTCTCAACCCTGCACCTTTTCCC